AGGGCGCACCTGTGCCACCGTCACTGGGTGGGGCTGGCTATCAGATTCCGCTGAGACRTGAGGACGCTCTTCCCTTGGCACAGGCTGTGCTCCAGGGAAGATTCTTCCTCTTGAGCCTCATCTGCTCTATTGTGAGTTGGTTGAATATAAGGGAACGGATTTCTTTTCTCTGGACTTATTTTCCTTTGAGATTTTATGTAAAGGTTAAAACYTATCACTTGACCCCTTTTGCCCTCTGCAGATGTGACTGTTGGCCCTTACCCTCTCTCACAGAGGGTTTCTCTGGAGGAACCTGGTGGGGTAAAGAAGAAGTGGTTCTTCCTTGTTAGCCTTGACTGGCTGGGGAAGAGAGGCCACCGGAGAGTGGACTTAGAGGTGCTCTGCTTGTCTCCATTTCCTACAGTAGAGAACACAGAACTCCAAAGCGGGTCCCTCTCCACTTTCATTCTCGAGCACTTGGACGCGACTTCTTCTGCCCATCATGCCCGGGGATCTACTTCCACAYCTCTGGGTAGGGAAGGCTGGTCCTGGGCCGTTGATCCTCCCCTGTGAACCCTTTGTCCTGATTTTGGGCCAGAGATGAGGCTGCCTCTCTTGGAGAGCTTCCTTTTAGGGGCAGTCTTGGCCTTTCCAGAAAGAGTTGAACTTCAGAGTGAAGTTCCCCTCCCTGGGGAGGCTGAGGCAGGCAGCTGGGGACCCCGTGCAGGATGACGGGTGAAGCAGGCGGTCTGCAAGTCAGAAGCTAGAGCTGGTGTCCCAGGCTGAGTGCAGCTCCCAGATTCCAGAAGGCCCTTGGGATTTGCTTGTTTCACCTGTTTACTTTGTTTCCTCTATCTTTTAAAATTATCACTTTTTCCTAAAATAKTCACTGTGAAATTTATGCTAACCAGATTTTTAAATTATTTTTTATTTGTTTTTTTTCTACTTTTAAAATTCTATTTACATATATTCAGTGCGTATATGAATGGGGTTCAGTGTGATATTTCAGTAAGTGTGGACAGTGCTCTGATGGAACCCAGCCTCCCTGAAGCCCCTCTCCCTGGCCTTCTTTTCAACCTCTAGTGCTCACTGTCCCATAATCAGTTGACTTTTGTATTCAGCCTCACCTATGAGAGGGGACATATGGCACTTGTCTGTGTCTGTCTTATTCCACCTAATACAGTGCTCTTCAGTTCCATCCATTTTGCTTCAGGTAGCAGGATTCCATTCTTCTTTATGGCTAAATAGTATGCCCTTGTGTTCATACACCACATTTTCTTAATGCATTCATTCTTTGATGGCCCGAAGTTTGATTACACATACTAATTGTTGAGAATAATGCAATAATAAACATAGGCAAGCAGGTATGCCTTTGGCATGCTGATCTCATTTCCTCTGAATATATTTATTCAGAATATATTTATACAGAAGTGCTATAGCTGGGTCATACAGTAGATCGATTTTTAGTTTACATTAGTTCAATTTAATATTAAAACAAATTTAAAYTTGAAAAATTGTCATTATGTGTATCACTGTTATTTATGGCAAGACAATGGTAAATAGTTTTTAATACTTTAAAAGTACTGAAATTCACTACATGATATCTGCAGTCCTATTTATTGCAACACTATTCAAAAAAGCTTAGAAAATGAAATGACCTAAGTGCTCATCAATTAAAGAATGGACAAAGAAAATGTGATACATATATACAGTGGAATACTATCCAGCTATGAAAAAAGGATGAAACTCAGGACAATGTGAATAGGACTAGAGATCATTATGCTAGTGAAAAGTGAAAAAGTAAGCACCACAGGATCTGACTCATACGTGAATCTAAAGATGTTTATCTCTTAGAAGTTGAGAGAGGGAGCCGGGGACGGGGAAAGGTGGACTAAGGGCTACCAAGTTACCATTAGATGGTAGTAAAGCCTGTGTGCTGCTGCACAGCTAGTGAGCATGGGTAACAGTAATGAATGTGATTTCAAAAAGCTAGAAGGAAGGATTTTAAAAGTTTTCAATACAAACAAGTGGTGAATATTGGAGGAGATAGACATGTTTAATCTGATTTAAACACTTCCCAATTATACATGTATTGAACTTCATATTATCCCAGTAATATGTGTAATTTAAACTAAATATGAATACTTTTATAAAATTAAGGCCCGTCTCTAAGAACATTTAACTCTAAAACATAGTCTCCATAAATGAGTTTTCAAAATTAAACCTTTGGATTCCRACTGACATTGTTCTCTGAATTCAGATTCTTTCAAATACCTGGGCAATATATAAAATGAGAATAATGTAAGGTTATTTGCAAATTAATGAAATATTTTTGAATATTGACAAAATATAATTTATATAGTCATTAGATACAAAGTAAAACTATTATATATGTAACAATGGAAAATGGTTGAATCGAGCTAGTATTTTTATTAAAACTATTCATCACACAAGGAAAAATACTTTCAAAGTAGCATAAAGAAAGTCCCCTTCATAATGGCGACACTTATCGGAAACTTGTGGTTTTCCATGTGGTCTAATTGAGAGACCCAGCTTCCAAAACGAATAATGCATGAAGATTGGGTTTTCTTCAAGTACAATTTAGAATCAAGGGAGAGCCCCTCTGAATTTCGCCAYGGTGTGAAATATTTTAGATGAGGAGACTGTGTTGATCTCTACATGGTGTTTGCACTGAGCATGCRTTTGTGCCTGGACAGAGGACTTACTGTTTTAAGGGGGAAGTGGAATATTAAGATCCTGCAGAATTAGAGGAAGAGAGTGTGTGGTTTCTGGAGGACCCTGATGGGAAAGCTTGTGCTCCTTCCCTGGGACTCGGTGGCCTTGTTTCAGTCTCCAGGCAGCTTTGCKGGGGGAGGCCTGGAGAAAGGCAGGAGTCTCTAGAATGTTCCCCCAGAACGCTTCTCCAAGTGCAGCGTTGCCATATCTACCCACCAACTTAAAGATGAGATTGCACACAGGGCCATCCTACAGGGGACAGCTGTATGTGCACAGGTACTGAGGGAGGATTTGCTGACTTCCATCCTTAGTACCATGATCAGGAATRCACCCTCCTCTTGTCCTGTGTAGTTATGATGCTTTGTTCTCATGTCCCTAGGCCCAGGGGAAGATGTTACTAAATCATTTGTATTTCTTAAAATCAAGAAATTTTGGTAGATTTTAATATAAAATCTGTTTTATATAATAGAAATACAGGTAGATTCTATTCAATGGCACTGATTATAKAATATATTTTAATTAACTTATTAGAAATCATAACTCCAAAATTTAAAAAAAACTAGACACTTTAAGAAGCAGATGTTCACATCTCTGTAATAAATTTCTATGTTAAACAGATGGTRTCTCGATTTGATAGAAAAGGAAAAAATAAGTCATTTTTGCATCCTTATGCCTGACTCTGCTTGTGTTGGAGGAAAGTTTTAAGAAGTTTACACTGAAAATATCTATGTATGGTTGTGTTTTTCTTTTCTTTTTCTTGAGGATGGGAGGAAAACAGAGCTACAGAAATATACTTCACAAGATCAAAAACAGAGGCAAATGAAATGATGTGATRGAAGAATCAAAAGGACCCAGGGGCAATGATTCTATACTTTGTCAGTGGGAAGATCTTTCTAAACATAGCACACAGAATCTAGGAGACAGAAAGGAAAATGTTCACCCATTTTACTKATAAAAGAAATTTTATAAACTTTGTAAGAAGATTTAATGACAGATAAATATTACTCACAGAGAGATAAATTTCAATATACAAGTTGTCCTTTCTGATGACCTTGAGGAAAACCAATGACCTGTAAAGACATCCAGCTGGAATTGGAAATGGAGAGAAGCTACACAGAAGGAGTGCAAATGACTGATAAGTGCACATGCATGTGCTGTGTCCTAAGTAACTCACACCTTAAAGAAAACAGACCACTGGGAGATTCTGTTGGCTCCTTTACCAGAGAGAGGTAAATTCTAAAATATAACAATACTTTTAGAAGAGGTGAAAGAAGCACCTCCATATTGATGGTTAGTGCAGAATTACTACAAATACTTAGAATTTTTAGCTCATCATCCCCTCCTACAGGACTTAATCACAGAGATAACCTGTCCCAAATGAACACTGTAGCCTTGCTTTTTAAAGGAGAAATTTAAGTCAGTGTTGGTTACTAAAAGAATGAGGTGGAGCTGTATTTATTGACAAGAATAATGTCGTGATAGATCACTGGGTAGAGACAGCAAACCATGATCAGTGTGTGTGTGATCACATGCGTGCACATTGTCTGTAACAATATAAATCATACCACTGCACACAAACACTAGTAACAAGATATTACATGTTATTAGATTTCTCCTTTAAAAAGCAAGGCTACAGTRTTCATTCGGGACAGGTTATCTCTGTGATTAAGTCCTGTAGGAGGGCCTGATGAGCTAAAAGTTCTAAGTATTTGTAGTAATTCTGCATTAAACATCAACATGGAGGTGCTTCTTTCACCTCTTCTAAAAATATTGTGATATTTTAGAATTTACCTCTCTCTGGTAAAGGAKCCAACAGAATCTCCCAGTGGTGTGTTTTCTTTAAGGTGTGAGTTACTTGGRACACAGAGCTATGTGCATACAAGCATGCTCACCGAGGCATGGAGAAGTATCTCCAGCATATTTACATTAACGTGAGYAGTGCTTCCCCTTGGTGAAAAGCTTCCAGGTTGGCCTTTATAATAGTCTGGCTTGAGTTTTTTAATGAAAGTAATAAATGCACATGGCAGAGTCCGGGGGTTACTGTGACAGGAGGTTGTTAGGACCCCTTTGCACCCTCCCTTATCCCTACTGCTGGAAAAAGCCCTTGTAACCCTTTCTGTCTGAACTTCTTGGGTGGTTTATAAATAATCATTGCATAATAACTTAGTAAAGCATAGTTTTCAACCCCCATCTCTCCATGTCTCCTCTGTAAATGTACGTTCTCATGGTGTGATTCTGAAGTTGGTTTTGCCCTGTTTCGAGTCTTTGTCTTAAAAAGGGCACAGGTGCTCACCATGCAGAACAGGTGCTGAACAGTAATGAGGCAGAGAAGATGAGCACGGCCCCTGAGCAAGCATAACGTGCAAGTTCAGGAAGCGTGACTCATTTGTTCGTTCCCAAATTAAAAAGCTGGGTTTTCTTTCTCTAAGAATAAAAGAAAGAAAAGAATTGTAATACAAAAGGAAATGGAAGGGAATGCTGTGTCTAATCGAGGTGCTGTGTTCAGAAGGTTGCTGTGTGGTTTAAATGACCCGGTCCCCAGAGCAGTGCCTTACTTAGGATTGCCATGTTCCATGTGCTGTGGCTGCCTTGCGTTATTCTCATCAGCAACTTGATACTTATACCACCTCCCTGCCTGCTGCTTGATGGTTGAGCTGTGACTTTTGGCCCTGCTTTGGGTGGCCTGGTAGTCCTATGAAGTCCTCCCTTGCTCTAAGTGGCGTCCTCACCCTGTGACAGGGACAGTAGGCCTGTGGCTGGCTTCACTTCCCTGTGTTTTTTTGGCTTCTCACAGTGATCCTTGTTTCTTTCCCATCCCCCCAATTTACCTCTTTTGTATTTGTAATGCAGAGGACCTGATCCTCATCTAATAATCCATGTTGTATATAAAATATTCACCATCTGCCACTCGTGATGTAATATGGTGGATATTATAGATGCAGCTATGTGTATGCAAGTTTGAATATATGTTACGGTACTCAAAAGGAAGATATCCCTATTGCATTGAATTTCAACTAACTGCATTGAAGCATTTTAGATGTTCATGCTTTTCCTTGGGGCAGTTTCTCAAATTGTCTCTGCCTCAGTTATCTAATCCGTAAAGTGGCAATGGCATTTATGATGGCTGTGATGCTGTTGCTGGTTGTGATGACAAAGGTAAAGAGGGATACTTGGACTTGCTTGTTCRAGACAAGTGTCCAGGTAATATAGTGGTTTTCTTGGAGTTCATACATTTGTGTGTGTTCAATCAATGGTGCCTATTATGAAGGAGATGCTAATGATGATCACGGTGGCAGTGGTGGTACTGATGGTGACTATAACTGTTTTGTCTTTGAGCACAGGAAAATTTTAACTTTAGCTCAGCTCATGACATCAAAATTCTCTTGTTAGTGTGGACTCATCTGTCGAGTATGCTGGATAAAACATGCACATTTCTATCAAAATAAGTGATGTGTTACTAGATACTAGAATGTACAGGTAGCTATGTTGTGCAGACTAAATGCTCACTGGTGCTCATAGMTGTCTCTGTGCCTGCTCCTGAGGGACAGGCTAGGCAACGCTGCCCCTGTGCTGACCCTTTGCTGTGTTTCCAGCACCTGCATTGGCGCCCAGGACCCTTACTGCGGCTGGGACGTGGTGATGAAGAAATGCACRAGCCTGGAGGAGAGTCTGAGCATGACCCAGTGGGAGCAGAGCCTCTCCGCCTGCCCGGTACGTGCCCAGCCATCCAGCCCCAGGAAGCACTGCCTGAGAAGCCTGGCCCCCTGACCACCCACCCACACTCCCCACGTGTCCACACCCCTCAGGTGGGAACTATCCTTGCAAATCCAGTGTGTGTTTTCTGAACTCTCTCAGTTCTTAGCTTGTGGGAAGAACATATGGATTCTGTCACATGCTTTTTGCTTGCAAATGTCTTACGATACTATCATGGATCATAGTGTCGCTGAATCTTGGAATTTTCCCCTGCAGTGTGGAATGGACTCTTCTGCCCCTTGTAGCACTAATAAAATGGGAGCTTCCACACCAGGACATTTCCCTCAGGGACGGTAATTTCAGAAATCAACATCAGCGAGGATTTGAAAAGAGTAAACTAAAGGATATTACTTTGACCCCATGTGGAGCCAACTAGTAGAAATTGCTCTAGGTCACGGGAAGGCCTGGGAGAAGCAACCGTGTGTGCATTCCCATGCTGAACCCTGAGGGATAAGGAGAAACATGCCTGCATTTACAGCCAGACCATGAATCCAAGAAAAGCAAACTCCTCTGTTCCCTTTGCTCATCTGTTTGGTTCAGGTCCTCACTTGTAGGAACTTCTTTTTCTTTCCCCCTTTCCTTTGGAATTCTTCACCCAGTCATCTCAAATTCACTTTTCTGTTCTCATACAACAAGAGCAAGTGMTATTAGCTTCCATGTCTTTGAAAAGCTACAAAGTCTCTCTGCCATCATATAACTGCAGGTCTCTGCATGTCAGTTCTGATGGGACAGGGATGGGAAGGCAAGTGGCACATTGGTTGTGCGAGCCTTTGCTGTCCCYCAATCCAGCAGAACCCCAGACACATCTGAGCAGTTGCTCTGCTTCCCATCAGGCACCAGCCCTCTCCACCGTCTGAACCCTGTGCTCCTGCAGCCCATGCCTCAGCCTGAAGGTCAGGAAATGGGGCCACCAAAGGGAAGAAGGCTACGGAAGCCAGCATCCTTCCCCAGATGTGGGCATGGGGTCAGGTGGCCTTCCTGCAAAGGGTCGTGTTGGTCTGTGCTGCCACCCCTAGGCTGTGACAGCTCCCAAAGAGGTTAAGCTGTTGGCATCTTTCGTTATGTTGTTCCGGGTCTTTGATTTTATAAGGAAACTTTCCTGCCATAACTCTTGAAAATGGCTAGAAAAATGCCAGTGTTAGCGCTAAGTCCCCTCTGCCTCGGAACAACACTAAGAGCACAAAGGTGTCACCTTAAATTCTTTGCAGAAGGTAAACACATAATGTGTACTATCTGAGATATAGCTCCCAAGTGCAGACATGTCCTTCAGAACATYTTCTTGTCGGTCTTTGACTTTGCATCTTTGACCATAGAAAAGAAAGAGATGATAACTGCAGTTCTCCTTAAGCAATAACACTCTGGCCTCAGGCCTGTGCTTATTCTAGCGAGTATTCAAGATGTGCTGATTACGTAATGGGAAACTCACACTCGTGCCCTTGGTTTATAGCAAATGTGTGTCTTGGCTCTTTTACAGCAAAAAAGAAAAAAATAGAAAGATCCAGTATTTCAGTGACTTGAGAGTTGTTATTAGAGTTGTTTCTTGTTTATGAGAGGACAGCTTCCAGTAAAGACAGATGGACTTGCCCTGGTGCTTTGCACACAGAGCTGAAGTGTGTTTCCTGACTGAGGGCCACAGAACACTTGTAGCAAGATCGAACTTCTGATGCGAGGAGGTGATTTCACTACACCCAACCAGTTTCCTATCCTCTTACTCAGTGGACTTTGTAACATATCAAGATATGCTTTGGATAGTTGAAAACATGCAAAGAAGCCAACAGTAGGAAATAAATTATGTTGTTTGGGCAAAAAAAAACTGATAAATAAATAAACAATTTTTTAATTTATATATGCTGCCATATAGAAAATAAAAAGTACTATCTATCTTATTATTCTGATTATTGGTTGTAATAATGATACTAGCTCATAAATAATAAGTAAATACTCTTTATTCATCATTGTCTAATAATCTTTTACAAAAGGGTAAGTTAGGTGAAAATTGTTGGCATCAGTGTAGATAGTAGATATTTTTGAAAGTCATTAAAAATTTTGTTCCAGGCTAATTTTTTACTGAAATGGAAGAAAGACCTTATTTACTGGCTAACACTACTATATTCTTCATTTCTGCCTTGCCATTGGTTGCGAAGTGTACCATTGCTTTCTATGTTACAAACTCGCATGGATTGTAAGACGTAGGCTAATTTCAGAGTTAAAATATAAAACAAACAAACAAACAAACAAACAGAAACAAAACAAAGCAAAAAATGTATTGTCAGTTAATACTTTACTTTTTTATCTACTTGTATATACATGAATATAAATATCTATCCAAAGGAAATATCACTTTATAAGCTGAGGTTCTGACTGAGAACAAGCATTTTCTATCCTGAAGGAAAGGGAGCAGACCCTGCTGCATTAAGCACAGTGGTTGGCAGGTGTGTCCCATGCCAATGTCAGGCCCTCTTGTGTGAACCTACCCAGTAAATCTGCAATATCCCTAGTCCAATATACAGCACCATTGAGCTCCCCAAAGTGAATCTCCCCGTCATATCTGATAGGGTGGCTGCGATCTATGGCTATGTTTGTTCAGTTGTTCTGCTTTAAGAGAACACCTAAACCTGGTGGTTGAGAAAGCACAGAAATCCACTTCTCATGCTTCTGGAGGCTGGGAAGTCCAAGACAATACACAGCATTTGCTTTGGTTAGGGCTTCTTGCTGTGCTCTTACCTGGGGGAAGAGGAAGGCCAAGAGAGTRCCAGTCCCCTCTCTCAGGCCCCTATAAGGGAGAGAGGAGACTTCATGGATTGATTAGAGGCCACCCTTCAGTGCTATTGCATTAGGAACACTCTYGTTTTGGAGTGACACATTCAAATCACAGATTATTTACATCCTCTKCTCCCCTGAGTTCAGGATTGAGAGGGGACCCCAAGAAACCCCAGGGTCATAGAGAATTATGGGGACCTATATTCTACCAAAAGAGCCCTATGTGACCTGTTTATGGGTTTGTGTAGTCCAGAATTCAGGACACTGGTTGGCTGACATGTTGAAGAGCATTCTGTTTGCTCACAAAATTGTAATGTAAAACATGACTATCAGTTTAAGGGATCTGAAGTACTTGAGGGAGATCTAAATTGGTCTATCTAGATTGATAAAAATAATGTATATGTTCTGCGTAGCTTCTCATACTGCCTAACAAGGGTAAAAGGGTCTTCAGAATCTACCTGGGCCTTATTTATACATGAACACCACCCACATCCTCTGGGGGAATGGAATTACCAGTATTCTGTACCACAGCATGTGGTGAGTTCCTGTTCCACAATATATTCTGCAACAGCTGTCAAAATGCATGACCAGATGGACACCTACGGGTCTCCACMCTATCTGTGGCAAAAGGTACAAGAAAATCTGAAAATAAATAAAGGAAGGACTACTGATTTTGAAAATATATCCAAATAGAAATTATAAAACTTTAATTTAGTCATAAGAGGATAAAGGTTTTGGTATAGTAAAAATCTAAAGGGGTACTGGCAGGGAACTCTGTACCCACCAAATATATCTACACCTTGGTGAGTTGAGAATGAATCATTTGAACATTAATGATGAATCAAACATAGGATTATAGGTCATGCTTAACAAAAATTGGATCTTCCTTATTTAGCAATTCCTGGGTGAAGGGGAATTAGCTATTGCACCATGAGGAGTGTATGATGATATAAATTTTATTTCTTTGAGACTCTCACCAAGAAAGGATCTAAAGAATTGCATTACAGAATAACCTGGCTGAGATCACAGTTCTGCACTCAGCTTGTTTGTACTAATTCTCAGAACTCTTAGAGCCAGAGAGATTGAACAAATTGCTTATCCCTCCTAAGCCTCGGCTTTCTACATCAGGAGATAGACACCGGATGGGGTGCAGAGGGTGAGGTAGTTAATATGTGTACATACTAGTGCTTGGAGCATACTAAACAGATGATCCCTGGTACATGTTTTATCATAGTTTCAGATTTTATGTATAATTATATAAAGCACATACTCTAAAGAGAAAGTCACTTGAAAAAAAATCTGGAAGAAATCACAACTACAAAGAATTTATTCTGGATAATTTATTCCACTCCCCAGGGCTAGGGACCAAACCCAGGACCTTATGCATGGTGGACAAATGCTTTACCATGGAGCTATATCTCCTTCCAAATGGCTTTATTTCTTATTGTCTGTTTAAGGAAAGCTAAGAAAAAGAAGATATGAAGAAGAAAAGCTACAGAACACACCCCGTTGTTCATAGTTCTATTTTCTAGGCAGATCCTTAAAATTATAATAGAGTCAAAGCCAACACAAGTGCACGGCTTAATGCAGGGTGTAGGGTCCTCATGTACTACTCCCATGCTTCTCTGAGGATGTAAGCTCTCCTAGCTCCTAAATGTAATGGGACCAACTGCAAAGGCATTGGATTGACTGTTGCCCCTAAAGKCTGCAGCTACCCCAGCCCTGGCCAGACCTGAAGCCACATCTCTACCTTGCAGAATTGGTTCACTCTGTGCTCCCACGAATGCTGCGTCTGATGCAGTTCCCTTCCTTCCTAGTGTTTTATGAGGATCTCTGCTCTGTTCTATTGGCCTCCTCCCTCTTCATTCATTATCATTTATTTCAAATTCTTCTTCTCTCTTCCTCTGTCATCCTTATTGGTTCATTCTCTGCCCAGGCATATACTTGGAAAAGGAACAGTTTCGTAAAACCCAGTTATCTCAGGCCAGACCTAAAGGTTAAAAAAAAAAAAAAAAAGCAAACTCACAAAGAAAATCCAGGCATTGCTTCCAGGTGGGAAGCAGGAGGAGATCATTCCCTGGGCCACCTAGCCATGCTTGGAGACACTTTGAGTTGACATACTGGGGGTGAGGTACCATTGTCATCTAGTGGGAGGAGACCAGGAAGGTCACTGAAGATCAAATCATTCTACATTGCTCAGGACAGACTCCCACCACCTGGGTGTTAGTTATTCGTAGTTGTGACTAAAACATCTGACAAGGACAACCTAGAGGAGGAAAGGCTTATTGTGGCTCATGGTCCAGAGGTTCAGTCCATGGTTGGCTGGCYCCATTGCTCTGGCCTGAGATGAGGCAGAGCCACATGACAGAGGAAAGCTGTTAGCTTCTGGCCATCAGAGAGCAGAGGGGAGGCGGGGTGGGGGTGGWGAAGAGAAAAAGACGGAGTGCACAAAGTCATGCCCCTCATACTGCTACTGCTTCCTCCAGCCATGCCCCACCCGTGGATCGTTCCACCCAGCAGTCCATTCAAATTTATTAATCCATCAAATGGATTAATCCATTCACGGGGTAATAGCCTTCACAATGCGTCATTTCTCTCCTGAACATTGTTGTCTTACCACKAGCTTTCAGAGGAACATCCCAGATGCAAACCATATCACTCTGCAACAAAGAACTATCTATCTAGCCCAATGCCACTAGTGCCGATGTCCAAAAACCCTGAACTAGTGGGGAAAAGGGCCCTCCAGTATCCCTAACTACTCCTCTAGATTACTACTTGTGTAGTTGTTGACAAGTTAAAAAACTTCTTTGAATCTTAATTTTTTTCTGTAAACATAGTATAAATGGGCTGTATTCAATAGGATTGCATATGCCTAATACTAATAGAGTTCTTTGTGGGTAGGACCTAAGAGAGGACTATTTTCATCCTGCCACACATCAAGAGGTGACACTTTCAGGTCTGATTCTGCTGCCTTGTTTGGGAAGGACACTACAGGAACAGGTCTGATTCTTCAAACCTTCTCCTCTTGCTCATAAAGTGGTGATGGATGCGCTGAACATTGCCTCCTTACATGCCAGTGTCCAAATGGAAAGAGAAGAGTTTCTTCCGCTTATCTGGAGGAAAATGATTTCTGGGAGCTTCTTGCAATCTGCTTTTGAGTCTCATTGGCCCCATTTGGGTCACATGTCTATTCTTAGATGTACTGTTGGCCAAGTGAGGAGCCACTGGGGGACACAGGCAGGCAGAGCCCACAGCGGGTGAATTCCCYGGGCCTTCTTCAGTTCAGAACTGCGCCTCTCACAGGGGCTTCATGCCTCCATGACATGACAGCAGCTCAACAGGGCAGCTCCTGTCCAGGCTGCAACCCTCAAATGGCAGCAGCAACCCTAACCACCCCTCGGGTCTGCAAGCTTAGTGTGTTAGTCAGCTTTATTATTATTATTATTATTATTTATATATGACAGTGAATGCATTACAACTCTTATTACACATATAGAGCTCAATTTTTCATATCTCTGGTTGTATACTTAGTATACTTACACCAATTTGGGTCCTCATACATGTACTTTGGATAATAGTGATACATGTACTTTGGATAATAATAATAATAATTAATAATGATTAATAAACATTCAACCATCATTAATTACCCCATGTCCCCTTCCGTCCCCTCCCACCCCTCTGCCCTATCTAGAGTTCCTCTATTCCTCCCATGCTCCYGCTCCCTATCCCTCTATGAATCAGCTTCCTTATAGCAAAGAAAACATTTGGCATTTGGGTTTTGGGGATTGGCTAACTTCACTTAGCATTATCTTCTCTAACTCTATCCATTCACCTACAAATGCCATGATTTTACTCTCTTTTATTGCTGAGTAATATTCCATTGTGTAGATATGCCACATTTTTTTTATCCATTCATCTGCTGAAGGGCATCTAGGTTGGTTCCACAGTTTAGCTATTGTGAATTGTGCTGCTACAAACACTGATGTGGCTGTGTTCCTGTAGTATGCTGTTTTTAAATCCTTTGGGTGTACACCGAGGAGAGGGAATGCTGGGTCAAATGGTGGTTCCATTCCCAATTTTCCAAGGAACCTCCATACTGCTTTCCGTATTGGATGCACCAATTTGCAGTCCCACAGGCAGTAGATGAGTGTGCCTTTTTCCCCACATCCTCTCCAACACTTATTGTTGTTTGTCTTCATAATAGYTGCCATTCTGACTGGAGTGAGATGAAATCTTAGAGTGGTTTTGATTTGCATTTCTCTAATTGCTAGTGTTAGTCAGCTTTTTATCACTGTGATCAAAATAGCTGACAAGAACAAGTTAGAGGAAGAAAAGTCTGTTTTGGCTCYCAGTTCCAGAGGTTTAGTCTATGGTTGGCCCTGGGGGTGGAGCAGATGAACTTGGCAGAAGCGTGGGTGGAGGAGTGCTGCTCAGTTCATGGCAGCCAGGAAGCAGAGAGAGAGGAGAGGGCTACAGAGAAGGAAGATGCACCCTTCCAGAGCTTGGACCTCCTCCACCTCCTCCAGCCACGTCCCWCCAGCCTATTGTGACCACACAGTCCATTCAAGCTAGRACAGACTGACCAGGACACAGCTCTCATAATCTAATCATTTCACTCTGAATATTCTGGCATTAACACARGAGCCTCTGGGGACACCTCATTTCCCACTGCAGCACTCGGGTTACCCACAGCTTYCTACCTGGTGGGTCCTGGGGCCATCTTCCCCCCTTGGAGGTTTCCTTAGCTCAGCACACACCTCGGCTCTTGGTACCTCATCTAATTCTCCTTATAGTCTCCTGGACTGTGAGTTCTGTTTCCTGCCAGGACCATGGCAAGGACAAGTTTTTAGTCCCTAGATTTGTCATCTTTGGTACCCCACTGATGTCACAAAGATGGGTTACTTTCAGGTTTACATTTTATGGGACTYTTTTTCCTGACAATGAAGTCATCTTCTGGAAGTTTCTGTGTTTCTTCTCCCAAAATGGCTAGATTGAAGTCTAATCCACAGAAACACAGGGCTGCAAGGGAGGAAGAGGCATTTTATGTTAAATTTTAGGGTGAAGATAATGTGTTTCACCATTTGAACGTTGGTATCTCGAGTAACCATGCTGTTCTGGTTATGTTTGCACTTTGCCCTATTTTAAAATTCCCCTGTTTTTAAACTCTTTGGTTTTCTGCATCACTTGGGGTGAACTGCCACATGTTGTTTGTTAAATGTGTGTTAAGGGTCATTAGGAAGGACAATCACCTGCCCCTGAGTCACACACAGCAGCACCATGGTACCYGCTTGGCACAGTCCTGCCCTGTGCATCCGTTCACCAATAGCCAGCTCAGCAGGAGGCACCTTGTATTCCTGAGCAAACCCAATGAGCCCCAACTGTCCTCAATTAAAAACAAGTTATAGTGAAAGGTCCCCAAATAGTAGGAGGTCCCCTTGTCTTTTTATCCCTAGTAAGAACTCTTGTCACCAGTTTCCTTCCCAGCAAGACACCTCCAAGCCAGAGGCAGACAGACACAGCTAAGATTTGGGGACCCTTGAAAACTGAGTTCCTCGTAGTCCAGACTTGGTCTTGTCTGAGCCTGAGCTTCATTTGCATGCTGCCAGGGAGGCAAACAGGTACTTTATTTGTTTGTGAAGCCAAATAGAACTGTCTCAGGCAGCTGTGTGATATTGTCAGTGTCACTYCCAGCCTACACGCACCCTGTGGGCACCATAGTGGAGGAAAACTGGCTTTGCAGGGCTCCCCAGAGCACCCTGTGCCCTGTTCCTGACAGCACAGTCACAGCAGTACTGACAGTGTGAATAGTCAGAGTACTATGGACCTGTACTGTGTAAACATTGTACAAATGTTCTGTCTGGTCACCATTATTCCTAGATGCCAGTTCCATGGTCAGTCAAGCCACTTGATGCTTTTTAGCAACAGTGACACTGTTCATGGATCAGACAGTGGTCTGGGTGTAGAGCATGTGAGCACTTGTTAGCACAGGCCTGCTTAAACCACAGGGGGAGTAACTACAGATCCGTCATGGTGTACGCAGGAGTCTTCTGGACAGGGCAAGAGGAAGGCCGTTAAAAGGGTGGAGAATGAATGTGGAAAATCCCCAACAGCAGGATCTTTGCTGCTTTGTCAAGAGAATCTGTCCAGTTGGTAGTTTGAGTCCGCATGGCAGGCAAGGCTTGGAGCAGCATCGTGGTCTCCATCCAGGCAGGAGCTGCAGATGGACACCACAGGGGCCGGGGAATGGGCATGTTCTCCTGGTGGGCAATCGTGGGAACACTCAGCACTTGGCAGCCTTGACGCTCTTTGTCACCACTCGAGCTGCCCTCAGCCTCAGCAGTCCTCGCCAGCTCCTTCACCTGCACCTTCTACACCTTAGGGGCCAGCACAAGTGTCCATCCCAGATCCCAGATGCTTGTTGACTGACCCCTGCTCAGGGACCATAGCCCTGGTCGTGACCCACATGGGACTTTGCAGGTGGAAATGATATGTGTGGAGCCCCCCCTGGCCTGCAGAGCCACGGAGGCTTGATGGGGACCTGGCCCCCGGAGCTGCTGTAGCTCCCGCTGCCCACGGGCTCTCAGAGCATGTGAACCCTACCTTGCCAGGTAGAGGCACCCCTGGAGCTGGGTGCATTTCCATAACTACTTCACCAATGTTTCATTTTCAATAATGTACTTACACAGGCAACAGGTGTGTGCCTCGGTGATGTTCTCACTCCCGTTAATCTTGCTCCTTGGATTTCCCATATCAGGGGACCATACTTCCCAAACCCTATTTCCAGGTCAGGTGCTTCTTTCACTCTCTCATCCCTTCCTCCTCTTTCTTTCCCTCATTTTTCCTTCTTCTTTCCTCTGTAACTCCCTCCCCCACCATTGACCCCAGGGCTCCACTTTGACTTGGTCCCTCACACATCCCTRTAATTTTGGAAAGACTCCGCGGGTTCTGATGTCTCCAGGGCTCTTCCAAGGTCACTCCGACTCACTTGCAGTTTAACACTTCCCGGCTGTCTCACTTCTGTCTGCCTCTAGATCAGGAATCTCACTGTGGACGGGCACTTTGGACCATGGTCTCCCTGGACGCCCTGCACGCACATGGATGGCACTGCTGTGGGATCCTGCCTCTGCCGGTCYCGTTCCTGTGACAGCCCGGCCCCCCAGTGTGGCGGCTGGCAGTGCRAAGGCCCCAGCATGGAGATCGCCAACTGTTCCAGGTGCGTCCCCTAGACTGCTCTGGTGTACTCTGGTGCTGGGGCATACGGTAAATCATTCCTAACACACACCTTTCCTASGAGACAAGGGGAGGGGGCGGCGAAAAGATGGGGGACATCCACCTCTTAAAAATTACGGGGTCTGGGGAAGAAAAAAATAAATTATAAATTAGAAGGAATTTAAAACTACAAGTTAGATCATAAATCTAAACCTGTTCATATGCTCATCATTAGGGTGGGGAAAATATTATGAATTTACACTGTACRATTGGATTGGTTCGGGGGTGTGTCCATGTTACTGAAATAAACTATTTCTGCAGTACATAGACAGTCGCCCCCACTGCAGAACAAATATATTAGGTGGAAGACAGAAGAAGCCAAGCCTTTTCATGATCAGAAGTCAGCTCTGTAGTCAGAACTSAGGCCTCCACTTAGTGACACTGGGCTCTAGGTGACCAGGAGAACACTTCAAATAATGTGATCCATGGAGTAGCTTTCCTGTTTTCTCTGTTAAAAATTGATAAATATATAAATTTCATAAAGCTACACTAGTTTACGTCTTGCCCTGCTCCGGTAGCACCCTGACCACAAACATCAGTACATCCTCTGAGACCGTCTTCAGGCACCCTCCTTGCTTGTACACTAACGCAGAATGTTTGTTAAAAAGTGTTCTTCTTGTCATGMGCCCATCTAAACATGCAGAGAGCATGTGGACACTTGTCTATGAAGTCACAGACAGAGGAAATCCTGTGGGGGGATCAAAGTATTCGAGAACCCAGGACAGGAAGTCTCAGCCTACCATAGAGAAGGGATAAGAAAGGGGACATGCAGATAGGACAGGTGATATGATGTTGGCATCTGCTGACAGTCTTTGCAGGGTAATTGGCTCACTCACAAAGTTGAAGGAGCCATTTGGGGCTGAAGAGATAAGATTGTACGACAGAAGGCACGGGCACCATCAAATCGCGTGTTGCCTGCTGTCCACATTTAAAGTGGCCACCATTRATGACAGACAGAAACTTCATAAATGCTGCCAAGCTGCCATCATCTGAAGATCACCATAAGTGGCTGATGTCCTTTCTATACTGCTTAATTACAAAAGAGCTATCTGAGTGCATTGTTGACTGGTTTATTTATACATCTTCAGTGTTTATTCTAGTCAGAAAGTCATTCTCTAAGTAGTCTTGAAATACAAMGGGTGGTTATTTTAAACTTAAAAATCAAATAAGCAAACCAGTTCTAGCAATGTTTTAAACACGTAAGTGAATTGTCTCATACACACATCATTGAGATGTTCCAGCTGACGATATGTGATTAGTCTGTGATGCTCTTTTGGTTGCCTGCTGCTGTGTCTACCACTAGACAACATGTAGTGAACACATACATTTGCAATTGCATTCATTTATTTCATCACTTATTCTGCGTATTATAAGAATACATCATAAAATTCCACGTTTGTTAAAATGTAGGAAATTAAGAATTTCATAACAATTTTGAAAGCAGTATTTTCAGCATCATCTAACATTTATTTTATATGTAAATAAGCTGAATATTTCAATTAATTACTTGAGTAATATGTAAGAATATAGTTAGAGGGTAAAGAAACTAGCTAATTACTTTTAAGAAAAACATGGAAGTCTTACTTTGATTAAATTACCATAAAGCAGCTTTATTATAATATGCACAAGGYTAATAATGTAGATTTTATTTATATCTCTGCTAAGTTTCAGCAAATAAAGTGGGGAATATTAGATACACTAAGAAACTTCTTTGAGGAATTTTCATTTTAGATTGTCTTAAAGTTAAGGTTTAAATTATTATTTATACCTGTATTTTCAGTGGCATAGTTGTGGACTTTGGTGTATCTAAAGGAATGTACAAAGTAAAAAGCAGAGTTAATGTGAGTTGACTTCCCCACCCTGTGGAAATACAAATCCCATGGGTGAGGTTAGGAATGCCCATGGAAATCCACATGTGGTTATAGAAGTAGAAATGACCCCGCATGCACTAGACCCTCTACGTGGGAGTTTGAACTCTGCATTTAATCGAAATCTGAATACCTAAAATCCCCAAATACCTACAATTTATTTTTTAATATCAGGGAAGAATAGCTGAATAATTCCTCTTGTTGTCAATCATGGTTTATTTTATAAAATCATCTAATTCTACTTATAATTTTTTTCTGTCTACATTATTGTATGTCTGTGATGCATAGAGACAGATTTATGTAATTTGCTCTCCTTGTTTATGCTGTTTATATTTTGTCACTTTTCAAGGATCTGAACTTAAATGTTCCTCCTTCATTTGTATCAGAAGTCTGACTTGACACCTGAGCCTGGTAGCACTCTTTGTGCACAGGATCTCCTCAGGAGGGTTGCTCACTCTCACTGATGTTAGTAGATCTGAAAGGAGGTCTCGGTAGAGTTTTAAATGACTCTTTGGTTCACAGCTGAATTTTCCAGAGATGATAATGGATGCAATACAAGTCAAACAAAATCACAAAATCTGGATGGTTAGGGATTCACTTCTAATTGCTTTTTAGTAAAATAAACTRTTAACATTTTTCATGACTAAAGTTTCTTAAAGTTTCATGATACTGCTCATTTAAAATGATTTAGAGTACGCTTAAAATTGCATTTTTAAATTTTCTGTCTTACCTCTAAAATCAGATGCCAAGGGGTAGGGGGCTCACAGTCATTGAAGTTCCCTGGCCCAGCCCATTCAGGCCATGCTGGCATTCCCTCTCCACAGGGGCACCATAGTCAAGTGGTGACCCAGATCCAGGTGCATTTGCAGTGGGTATGCAGGGGCTTGGACTCTGAGCCAGTGTGGCCTAGTGATTGTGTGGCTTCCTTTCCCCAGGAACGGAGGCTGGACTCCCTGGACCTCATGGTCGCCCTGCAGCACTACCTGTGGGATCGGCTTCCAGGTGCGGCAGCGGTCTTGCAGCAACCCCACCCCTAGGCACGGGGGCCGGGTGTGTGTGGGACAGAACCGTGAGGAGAGGTACGTGCCAAGCTTCCCAGCAGAGCATCCCCAGCTTCCTCCCATCCAGTGTGGTCAGTTTCCGTTTGGATCTAGCTGAGCTTATCTGTGGCATCCCTTTTGGTTGAGCTGAATTATCCTCTTCCTTTTGTGACATCWTTATTTTGACCAAAGCCTCCTATTAAGAGCATTTTCCCCTTTCTGCTGCCTGCATGGTTGGGCTGCCTCAGCTGAGGAATTAAGGCTATGGAGATACCCAGGCTGCAGGCCTCTCTGAGATGGGCTCCTGGAAACTCAGAAAATGAGTCTGCTGGAGAACGATTATTCTTGAGAGACTTCAGCTACACCAGTCCCCACAGCTGCAATTCCCAGGAGAACCCAAAAGGGTCAGGTCCAGATGCTGTGGGGCAGGTAAAGTAAAGTTTGCATCAGAACAAAATGCAGCAGCTGGAATACAGRTGCAAACACACTGAGGGTTTGGGTGTGTTCACAGCCACACACTAATTGTTAACAAACMCCCTCGGGGAGGATGTATCTGACTTGAAGTGGGGATTCTTTTCCATGTGCATCTTAACCTTCCATCACATCACCGCAGTCTGTCAGTTTAGTCTGGGATCTAGTCATTTGTTTCTTCCTTTAGAATGAGACGTTTGGTTTCATCCTCATAATTCATAGATGTGATCATTAATTCTTTCTTGTCTTTTTAATGTGTGTTCCACTTTGTCACTATTGGGAGAAAAAACCACATAGGTGAATTTCACAGAACTTTCTGGATTCTTATTCTGCTGTACTGACATCAAGTTATTATTCCAAAGCCTTTTAATGAAAAGATAGTAGGCTTGTATTGGTGTCATGCATTCCAAAGAATGTCTTACAAAAGCACTGTAAATAGTTATTTGTGGTGCAATTAGTACTTACATATTTAAAAAATAAAAATAAATACTAACAGGTTTGCTGTGTGGACAGTTTTCTCACAGGAATTTATTACAACCTGAAATCAACTAGGGAGAACCATTCTTTCTTTCCTCATTGTGTTGCTCTCTTACCAAATAATATTTCATTCTTTTGAATAGGAGGGAAAGGAAGATGGTCGTGTTTGAAATAGTCCTGTGAGACGGTCCTGTACAGGTCTGTCATTTTCTGTCTAACACCAGTTGAGAAGTGGGAAAGCCAATTATAGGAAAAATGTCTCCACACTATTTATGAACCTTGTTATATTTAAAACTGATGGGAAGTTTCTGAGTGCTGGGAGTTGTCAGGTAGTGCAGTCCACTGGGCAAAGACATCTTCATTTGTGCAAAGGCTTTCCTGGAGTCGAGGTGCTGCCACAGCGTAACAAGGTGGACAGGAAGACACTGCTCACCTCTGCGGCCACAGTACGTGCACGCTCTGTATGTGAGTAGCATTGTTCATAAAGCTGTGCTTGCAGAAAAAGATCTGGAGAAAGAATGGCCAGTGGTTTGTGGMCATTAGACTAATGAACATCTTTTAGGGCTAGGTATGTGCTAGCTTACTGGAGGAAAACTTAAGTTCAGCAATGAAGAAGCAGATGGTAAAGACAGAGACTATATAATATTTTCATGAAATTGAAGTCTCTCTACTGAATAGTCTTGCTGTGTGAAAAACCAACCAACCAACCAACCAAACAACAACAACAACAACAACAAAAAAATTAAACTAAGTATCTGATAGGCTTTCATCTTCACAAGCAAAAGGTTCTTAGAAATCTCTTTGCCCTGTTGCAAAAGAAGTCCCTCCATATAAGTACAACAAAGGAAAACTTTGCTCATTCTGACAAAGGAGATATTTGAGATTAGATTAAAGGAGACCATGATCTCCATGGGAAGGTACAAAGTTCTAAGGAATAGGCACATTAAATGATTAACAAGATCACGCTTATTTAAAAACCATCAAACCTAAAGAAATCCTGGGTGACCAAAAGAAAATAAATTGATATTCTCAAAAAAAAAAAATCCCTGAATTAATGCCAGGATCACAGTTAGTGACTTTGGGACAAAATCTCCAATGTGTGGGAGCTTAATTGTATCAATAATCTCTGAAATTTTCACACTACTTTAAAAAAAATCAATAGATAAATAAAATATCTCACTTAAAGTATACATGTACGTTAGCATGTGTGGATGGTTTATTTTCTTTCTATTCCTTGGATTTTCCTGAGTATCCAAAAAATTAAAGGCACCAAGAGGGCCACCAATGGATAGAAGAAAGGGACTTTGTTATAAATATTATCAAAATATGATGTGATTATATGTATTCCTTTTCACCTGCTGTGTCATAATCATTCCACAAACTAAAACAACACAGGGTTATTATTTCACAGTCTTAGAGCGACTGGTGTTCCTACAGAGCTTACGTGAATCCTATGCACATGGCCAGTCAGGGCTTCAGTTTCTAGACACATGACCCTCCCCTGCATGGTCTTTCTCCCTCAAATCTGTCCAGGATTGTCCTTCAAGACGGCAGCACAGTCCGAGGTAACGAAATCATAAGAGGACCCATGCTTGCCATATTCTATTGGTTAGAAGTCAGCTGCAGGCCCTGTTAGGATGAGGAGATGTCTCAGGGTGTGCATGTCAGGGGAAGGCCATCAGGGTCTCCTTAGGGTCTGTCTGYCACAGGTGATCTCTGTTCCATTGTCACTCATGCCCTCCACATGCAAAATGCCTTTCACTTAATCCCAAGGTCCCCCAAAGTCTTATCCTATTAGTCATCTTCCCCAAGCCCAGGATTTTACCATTCAAGTCAGTCTCAGACACGCATGAGGCTCCCTGGGTGCTGGGCCTCTTGGTCTGCTGTCCTCTAAACGAGAGGCAAGTTCTCACTCTATATGCAACAGTCGGTCAGGGAAAGAATGCCAGCAGGAGATGTTTAAAAAGAGGAAGATGGAAAGAACAGAACTCGCTGCTCCCTGGGAATGCCGGGCCCTAGCCAGGCAGGCCTTGGGAGGTGCTCTGTTGAAGTCTGGATCTGCCCAATTTGCTCCCATCTCCACGGCTGGCTCATCCCTATTTTCTTAAAGGCATCAAGTACCTGCAGCCTGTCAGCCCAATTGCCTGTGCTGTGCTGGGTTTCCCACAGGCTTTCATTTAAACGTTCTCTCTCCCTTTTAATCCAAGCTGGTGGTATTTTTGCTAAAATAACCTTCACAAGAACTTTATGGCTCTTCATGGGTTTCCCCAGGGTCTCCCCACTGGACAGAAGCCACACTTGCAGATCTTCCTAAGATAGCCCTACTGTGCCTTCGGGTGCCCCAGCAGCCTGGGAGACAGAGCCCTCCTGCTCCTAGGGTACCCCTGTGACCAAGAGGATCCCTGAGCCACCCCTTGCTTGTGACATCTTAGAAGGGTGCTATGCTTGAACTCCATGTTACTCTGATTCTCTTATATTTCTGAGTTTTCACAGTAATACACTCAGCTTTCCCCGAGGCCAGCTTTTCCTGATGGTGCTTAGAAGCTGTTTCTTAATTTTGTCATCTTTGGCATCAGGAGAAGCAGGTTCCCAAACACCATGCAGCCTCTGTTTGCTTTGTTGAATGGAGTGGCCCTCAATTCTCTCTCCTCCTACATTTCACTGTGAGCAGCAAGTCCTGGGGCAGCACCTTTCACACTGTCCTCGTGAGTTTCTGAAGTTGTGTGACCTGCTTGGCCACAGGTTCCTCTTTCCATGATTATGGTAGATAATCATTTTGGAAGCTTTCTACCTTTAGATAACTAAGCTTTCCCTTCTTCCAGTCTCTAATAACATGCTCCTATCTCCTTGTTATTTTTATTGTAGTAAATTACAGGCAACGTGAACTAGCCACTTACCCACTTTTAAGTGTACAGTTGACAACCGTTAACACATGGATAGCCTTCTCCTTGCTCCTAAGCAATGTATCCCCATCCTACCCTCCTCTAACCCCTGGCAACCTCCAACCCCATCTCTGTCCATTTGCCTGTTATGATATGCATTTCATGTAAGTGGAACCCCAGTGTTGCCCTTTGATGTCTCTCTTGGCTCACTTAGCATGATTGGTTCAGGTTCATGGACATTGTAGATGGACCAGAACCTCATTCCTTTCTTAAGGCTTAATAGTATTCAGCTGTATGGCTGTAAGTGCCTTCACTTATCCATTTGGCCATAAGTGGTGCCCACATGGGCTATTTCTACCTTTTGCGTATTGCCAAAAATGTGATGATGAACGTTGGTGTACAGGTATCTGTTCAAGTTCCTGTTAAATTCTTCTGTGCATACGTCTAGGACTGAAGTTTCTGGGTCATATGTTAATTCTTTGTTTAGCTTTTGGAGGAACTGCCAGAGTGCTTTCCACTAAGATCTCTCCATTGAACATTCTTAACAGCAGAGTGTTCTAATTCTTCCAGATTCTTGCCAACGCTATTTTCTTGCTTTTGACTATAGTCACCCTACTGTGTATAAAGTGAGTATAAAGTGTATAAAGTGAGTCTTACCATGGTTTTGATTGGCATTTCCCTAATGACTAAATGTGCTCAATATATATATATATATATATATATATATATATATATATATATTATTTGAAGAAATATCTAATCGAGTCCTTTTCCTATTTTCTAATTGGCTTGTCTTTTTCATCATGCAGTTTAGTTATTTATCCTAGTTTGTTCTAAAACCCTTGCTGGCAGCATCCTCAAATCCAAATTTCTACTAATAGGCTTTACAAGTTGATTTAAGCTTTCTCTATAATGTTCCTCAAAATTCTTTCTTCTACCTCTTCTCTGGTCCCAAAGGCACCTTCCCATTTGGGGTGATTTTATTTTAGGAACACCATACTCCACACTGCTATGATATGTTCTAGTAGTCATCACATGACAGTGTTACCACAAATGTGCTGTTTCAAGCACCTCCTGTGTTAGCTTGCAGCTTCTCTGGGTTTCAAGCCTGGACACAGCTCAGCTGTCTTTGGTGGCAGGGTGGCAGTCTGCAATGTGAGTGCACACCAGGGCTCCCATCTGAGCTCAGAGGAGTGGCATCTGCTTCTTAGACCAGTCAGTTGTGGCAACCATCACCACCCTGCGGGCTGGCCACCTAAGGGCCTCAGTTTTTCACTGGATATAAACTAGATTATACCCTCACTTCTTTAATACCAGGGCATTACTCACCTTACTGGTTGCTTCTTCAAAGGCAGAAAGAGAAACTTCCCTAAAGTAAAGGCATTATGATCTTACATGACATAATCACAGCAGTAACTTTCATCACCTTGGACATATTCTGTTGGCTAGAAGTGAGTGACAATTTTGTCTCTCCCATCCTCAGTTGGAGGGGATTAAGCAAAGTGTGAGTTCCAGCAGGTGGGTATCAGGTGGGCCACATTAGAGTCTGTCCAATGCATTACCAAACTTAAGGGTCTTAAGAACCAATGGGATTTCATTATATGATTATTTTTGTCTTTATGGGTATGTTTGCTTCAGGTTGTGATAAACCAAAGTGAGGTTCTCTGCACATTGTTACTCTGTTCTGACATATTGTATTAAATATCATGGTGGACTTTATATATATACAGTTTCTCTGGCTGCATAAGAGATTCAGTTACTCCAGTATGCCCCAATAAAGGGATGATTACTTACCATGAACAATGAGAAAATGGTTCTTGAAAGGGCTTTCCCTGGTTCAGCCTGACAAGTTGTAGTAAGGAACTACCTTGAACCCAACTGAAATGGAATGGTTTGTAGCATAAAGAAATGCGAGAAGCAGCATGGTGCAGTGTTGAGACCCTGCCTGTGTGGAATCGTGAAGGCTTTTCCTTCACAGAGACTAGGTTTATGGAAAAATGGATAATTTATGGAGAAACACGGTGGGTCATCAGTTAGCTTTTAAATGCAAAATAAGAATGAGCAGTCATGAGCAAAATTAAAATCTTAATTTTTAATGCATCATGAAATGCATCTGTGACTTTCATTGCTTTAAGATACTAGAGACCTAACAGAGCCAATAAAAATTTAGGAACATTTATCTGGTCATCTGGTAAAGGCCAGCAGCAGCCTCGGAACGGGAGAAAGGAGGRGCCGACTACTGGCCGTCATGTGGACACTTTGTCTGTAAATTAATCAAGATCCTTAAGCAGAGATGCCGGGTCTCTGGTTTCCCATCATTGTTGGTGTTCCTGTGGTTTAATGAGGGGGCTTCTCTTGGGGGTGCAGCTGGTTGGGGTCAGGGTGAGGAGAGCCAGAAGGAAACTGATCTCTCACAGTGGCAGGGGATCCAGGCATGGGGCCTTCTAAGGGCTTTGCCTCTGAGCAGTCTCTTCCAGCCTGAATTCCTGAGGGTAAACCCAGACACMAAGGGGAGAGATAGCCTAGCAATTTCTGTTTCCCTCTGACCTTTCTCGTCACAGTCTTGGAATTACAGAGAGTGACAACTCAGAAAATCCTGGGGTGACCTGTTTCACAGGACTATTGTGGAGGGAGAAAGAGGGAAAAAGAGAAGGCCATTAGCTGACAACCTTAACTTGCAGCCCTGGAGATGATTTATTGACAATGTTGGAAAGTTCTGGTCTACATGCACAGGTTACCCTGCAGTAGATCTGTAACTATAATAACAGGCTGAGAGTTCTCACAGGTGGCCTGCTGCAGGCAAATACAAGAAAGTATTTATGCGTTATGATTTATTTCGCTCTGGGGATATGGTAGCTCAGTTGCTGAGCTTTTTATTAAAATTCAAGGGCTCTATGAGCATTTTTAGTAAGACTTTCCTTTGCCCTTCCTGCCCTTTTGTGTGTGTGCGAGTGTGCACGTGCACTGAAAACTGAAATTAGGGAAAACAAGTCTACTAAGTCATACCTTTAAATATCAGTTTAGAAATGGTTCTATTTACATACACGTGGACGTTTAGAATTAAACACSAGTGTGTTCTGAGGTCCTGAGTTTTCTTGACTTCCCTAAAACCTGCTCTCAAAACAAAAGACAATTTCCTCCTGGAATACTCGGAGCACCAACACAGATGCTAACATGTACTTCTTGGAATGCTGTGCTTTAGGCAGACTCCCCAAGGCAGAGTCTCACAGCCTACTGGAGCCTCAGTCTTCCCCCTCAGGCCCTGTTCTCCTGATTAGGGGGCTCCTCCCCTGTCCCCAGGCACTTGAGAGTGTCCTCTCCTGAGGGCTCAGCCCTGGAACACTGCTTCCTTGGGAAGGAGACCTAGCATTTCCACATCTGAAACCCTGAAAGGACGAGGAGTGGGGACTGTTCAGGTTATTGGCCACTCTTAAGTGTGAATGTTCAGAGAAACTACACTGTTGGTCTGTTTCCTGACCCCCTGAGGGCCCCTCAGCAGTGACCTCTGCCTTCAGCAGGGAGGCTCTGTGGACTCCATGATTGCTGCACCGTATCAACTCTACCAAGCCCTGTCTTCCTCCTTCCTCCCCTTCTTTCCACCACCATGGCACCTGAATATCTTGAACTGTCCCTCATTTGCATTGCTGCCATCCAGATTCCTCTATTTGGTATCTGCACTTCCTGCTGGTGGCCTCCCCTCTCTTTGAAGGTGCAGGCCCCACACTGAAACTTGGGGAGCTCCTCAGACCTCAGGGACTGCAGGCCACCTGTGGGATCAGTGCCCACCCCACAAGAAAACCCTTCACTCGAACTCTACAGTTGCTCTTTTGTCTGCAGAGCTCCACGGGACTTCCTTGGTTTCTTGCCAACCAAGTTCGCATTCTTTCCCTCTATCTGGCAAAGCTAGCTCATTCCKCTGCCTGTCACCTCCCCCTGTTGTCTTTCACCATCCCCTTTCTTACCTTGCTCTCTCATGTCTACCTCTCATGACTCCCTGAACACCAGCGGGTGTCCATGTGCCTCATGCTATTGGCCGTTTCCACGCGGCCTCGCTTCCTGCTTTGTGCTCCAGCCATTCCCGAAGCCTCCCATTCTCCATGAAGGTTCTGGTTTGACAGAAGACAGTTGACCCTCCCCAGCATTCTCTGCAAAGAAACTACAGTCCCCAAATTCCTTTCCTTGGTGGCTGGCTGCCACTTGCCTACRTTTTCTACTCCAGAAATGCATCTCCTTTGGTGTGTGGCACATTCAGAGTGACGGCAGGTTATGGTACAAGTACCCCCGTGTGTTTAGTTGGTGTTTTCCTCTTCTGCCTCTTGTGAGCCCCTATTCATCTGAGGCTGTGAACTATTGAGTTTAAATAGTCCTTTAAGTAACCAGAAGTGACTGGCTGAACTAGGCTGTATTCAGAGTGACTTCTTGTTTGGGGTTAGTTTGTTTGTTTGTTCATTTTCCCCAATTCATTTCATGTTCATAGGATTATACAGCAATGTGACCAGTCCTGGAGCTAAAGCGGTTTTGGGGTATTTGTCTAAAAATTGATAAAATGGATGTGTGTGTAGAAGTCTAAAATTGAAACACTGCAAATAGAACAAATATGTGTAGAATTGTATACTAACTCATTTAAAATAATCTGTCGTCTTTTAAATTAAAGTCATTTAACAACATTCTGAGAGCCTAAAAATAAATTTAAAAGTGCTATAACCTAAGCAGTAAATGTCATGGGCCTTTGTGCCAAACTCATGCTTTCACTTACCCTAATGAGATGATGCGACTTCCTTGATTCAGGAATGAGAAATGAATCCAAATAAAGCTCTGCTGGGTTTGTGTTCTTAACCTACTTTATCTTCCGATGTTTGTGTTTAGAAGATAATTGCCCTGCCTAGCTAGTTTCTCTTTGCTCTTATTTTGGGGTGTCTATTTGAAGAGTTTTGTTTTGTCTTGTTTCTCCTCTAATTGGCCGCACAGGAAGATCCATCCTGCATTGTGAGTTGAGCATTTTCTTCATTGTCTGCTGTGCATTCCATTGTCTGTGCACACAGCATGGCCAGCACCACATCTGCCTCCTGTCCTGTGCAACCACTGCAAATACAACAAGCCCCTCCACGCAGAGCATGCCCATGTGCGCAGCCTCTGGTGCAGGGATGGAGAGTGGGAAGCTCAGTTGTCTTGTGCGGCACTTAACAATTTCCTTTTCCTCTTGGATTCCTTCCCTATTACAGATACTGCAATGAGCATTTACTGTGCCCACCGCACATGTTCTGGACAGGCTGGGGTCCTTGGGAACGGTGCACAGCCCAATGTGGTGGTGGCATTCAAGCTCGCCGCAGGACCTGTGAGAATGGGCCCGATTGTGCAGGCTGCAACGTGGTGAGTACTCTCCTCGTGCCCAGCCTGCAACCCAGAGTTGGGCATCCAGCCTCGGCACCAGCTCAGCACTCTGCACACACTGGATGCTTTGCACTTATTTGACATGCTATAAACACTAGATGGACTGTACATGTCAAGCGTCTGCCCACATGAGGTGTTCTGCAAACTCTTTATGCTCTGCAGGCACAAAATGTTTTACGTACACTACGTGTCTAGATACTGCACGTCTGCAGGCACTTGGTGCTCTTCCACAGTAGAGCTCCTGCCAAAATTGACTCTCGGCAGATGCCATATGTTCCCCGAGCATTTGATGTTCCATAAACACAACATGTCCAGGCACCAGATGCTCTGTATACATTAAATGGTGTGAGTTGTGAAATTTTCTCTGGCTAATGGAACTGACCCAAGGAAGTGCAGGAAAATAGAGTACTTGGATTAAGCATGCACACACGGGATGAACTGCCCCGGGAGTGTTGCCTTTGTGAGTCCTGAACTAGCACATGCGCTTCAGCATTTGACTCCAGTCCTTCCATTTGGTCTAGCACATTGGATGATGCCCGCGAGTGAGGCTCACGCCCAGCATAAGATGCAGGACAAACCTCACACTTCCTGGGGACAGAGACACAGTGGAGCCAATGTCAGAGCATGTTGGTGCCAAGTCTGAGGGAATAGAAGGCAACTTATGGTTTTATTTTTCTTCTGCCTTAGGGGGTCATATTTCTTTTAACACTTTAAACAGTCCAATAAAATTCTGCTTTTGCAAGCTCCTTTCAAAAGGCCCATTGTTGCTGGCCCTGCTTCTTTGCTCAGGATGACTGAGCATGGATCCTGCAGGGTGCTCACCTGGCTCACCCTCCCTGGGGCTGCCCCAGTGTGCAGGAGAGATGTGGCCAGTGCTTGGGGGAGAGGCTCTGCAGGGGGVGCCTGACTCTGCCTGCTGCCCTCTGACCTTTCCTGTTGGCCTTCCATCCGTGCCCCAGTCTGTGAGGCTGAGAAGGTCTTTGTGCTGCCGTGAAGCCTGCTGCTACAAGCTGYAAACCCACACACTGCAGAGGCCCAGGGGACTTCAGAGAGGGGGAGAGGCTACGGGGTGCTGCATGGATCTTGCAGCAGACTCAAGGAGGCTTTTTGGATWGGACTTTGCCATTCCATTTTCTTCCCTTCATGTCGTCAAAGTCATTGTAGTGATTCTAATCAGATCTATCACTGCTCACAGAGACAGGTCTTCCCAGATGCCTCTGAACTAAGCATAGACCAGGAAAAATCTCACTGTACACTGCATATGAGAAAATGTAAATTCTTAGACCAACATGTAGATAAATATTTCAAATACCAAAATTCAGAATTATTTATTATAATGTCAACGGTGTCATCTCTCTGCTGAGCCGTCTCCTCGGCTCCTGTTCCCTCTGTGTCTGAGTGCAGGGTCTTCAGTTCCACATCAAGATGTTTCTCAACAGGCTGGGATTTTGGCTCAGCAGTAGAGTGCGTGCCTAGCATGYKCGAGGCCCTGGGTTTGATCTTCAGCACCACATAAAAAAATAAATACATAAAATAAGGGTATTATGTTCAACTACAACTAAAAAATAGATATTAACCAATAAATAAATAAATAAATAAAAATAAAAAGGATTCTTCTCACCTGCGGGAAACCAAGGCAAGGATAGTGTGAGATGATCTTGCACCTTAGATTCTAAGCACTTTTCTGCCTAAAGAATGAGAAAATAGTATATATCTTTCACTTTCTTGCTGTGAATTAACTTCAATAGTTATATTCAAAACTGATTCATGAAATAAAAATATATTAAGGAAGAGTATAGCATATCTCTTATGAACTTACTAGGATGTGTGTGTGTGTGTGTGTGTGTGTGTGTGTGTGATACATCTGTTCATAAATATAAAAATTGGAGGTCTTCCAAAATGTCAATGTATTTGTTGCTTTATTTGCTTCAGTATCATAGTTTATAGAACAAATGTAACCTTGGCTTCCAAATCCAGAAAAATATAACTCAGAATTCCCTCCAAGGATAGCAGATGTGTTTGAGCAGAATAAAGACAGTGCCAAATACAGCAAAAATAATTTGAAGAGAGAAACAGACGTGGCGTTGCCAGCACAATATTAATACACATATTTTACTGAAATACCAGACAAAGCATAAAGCAGTTGAACAAAAATCTATAATTTAAGTTATGAACAGGAAACATAGGATAGATGTTTATTTCCTTGATACAAAAGAACCAGAAAGTTCAAGAAGAAAGATGTTACAATCAGTATACACTGTCAGAAGGAACTCTCTGAAGGTTAATCAGAGCAGATAAGTGCAATCAAATGTGTTTCTGTCAAATAATGGCATTGTGGATAAATTTAGGAGCAAGTGAAATCCGGCAAGTGGAAGTTTAAATATGTTGTGATATATGAAAATCACCACGATGTGACCCATTCCTCACTGTTGTGTAGCTCATGAGCCCACGGGTTCCTGTTTTTCCAAGTGAGAAAATGGAGACCCATGGACCAGTGTTAGGTGTCTGAAGCCAATTGCCAGAGGAGCAACACCCCAGGCCAGGCTCTTCACTTCATAGTGAATCCAATCAATCCTAAAGAGATCCAGGTGCTGTGGGCCCTCCAAAAATATAGCATCAAGAACAGTGAGACCATAGGCCAGAGTTCAGACGGGCACCCACAACATGAGACCCCTAAAAGTCTAGAACAGGAAMACTGTGCATTTGTCTCTGGTTTCATACATTTCTAAAAAGGCTGGGTTGATTTTGCTGCAGGCCACTAATATATGAACTAGTTCAATTTTAAAGGACCTCAGTAATCAAACAAAAATTATTTTAGGTCCATGCAATATACATTTTTAAGAGGTATGATCTGCATACGGCTTCTCCTGCCTGGTCATCCTGCTCTTGTTCAGAATGACAGTTCAGAACCACAGTTCAGGATTTTCCTACAAGTCACTTGTGCTTTTTTTTTTTTTCAGTATTTTCAAAAGTAGTACTTAAATTCATCTAATTTGGCAATATTTTGAAGGACACTGTAGGCAAGTTTTGTTATTTAAAAAAAAATTTATCTTGACTTTTGACAATCGTAATTTTTTTGATAAGAATGATAATCTAATTTTGTAAATATGTCTTTACACACTTTGTAACATATTTTTTGAGCTTCCTGGTGTTATACTCTCTCAGACTTTGGTAGTTTTGTTGTTACTGGGACAGTGTTAGTCAATTCCTTGTGTATGACTGTACTGGGGGAGCAGCTTATTGTGTGCTACATGGACAATTGTTACCCTTAGTTTTTTTTAAAAAAAAAAAAACCCATATCTCTTCTTTCTAGTTTACTGAAATAATCCTCAGTTCCTCCATTTAAATTTTAGTGCTGAAATGTCTTAGTGTTATCTACTTTTACTCCAATGGGTGAACTGGCATTGCCTTTTGCCATAAAATAGAAAGGTGCCCTGGGAGACTGACATTTATTTTTTACAAGTGAGTAGCAGTTTTAAACTTGGCTGCTTGTGTGTGTGTGTGTCATGGTTGGTGCAGGAATATGGGTCTTACCTCTCCTTTAAAACCCTGTGTGGAAGCCTCCACACCTGTCTATGGCACKGTTAGGAGGTGGTGGGATCTGTAAGAGGTGGGGCTAAGTGCAGGGAAGTTGGATCGCTGGGGAGTGACCTTTGGGACTATTGGATGCTGGCCCCTCCTTTCGTCTCCTCTCTACCATGTGTCCCTGCTCTGACCTGCAGCTCACCATATGCCTAAAAGCAAAAGGACCATCCAATCATGGACTAGAACCTCCAAAACTGTGAGCCACAGAAAACCTTTCCTCTTCCTTAGGTGGTTATCTCAGGTGTCTTTCACCGTAATGGAAAGCCAACCAGCAAAGTTAGGTTCCTGTGTTTTCTCACTTTCAACAATGGCTTCCTGGAAATCCATAGTCCTGCCTTGGAGGATGGGTGGGTTTCCATGAGGAGGAACACAGAAAGTCTTCTCCTCATACACGTATTGTGACCCCAACATTTGCTCTACTGCARACTTGGCCATTGCCAGTTTAAATTAACTTTGATGCATTGGTTAATGTGCTGTTATCACGCTGTGGGCCTGGATCCTTTTCCAAATCTTTACTTGATACCCTAAACTATATGACTAAGACCCTTAACAATATGACTAAAACCTCACTCACCAATATGGACCCTGTGGCCTGGGCTGATCTCAAGGGACACAGATGGATGTGTGTGGAAGCTTTTCTTACTTTAATGAGCCAATGGCCTTTCTAGTTTACATACAACAAATTTTATCCATAGTTTATGAAAATACCATGTTATAATACAAAAGAGGCAATTTTCTTAAATAAAATTTGATAAATACGATCAAGTAGTTTAATTCCATTGAAAATGTTCAGAATTTGTGTAGAAAATTAGTATTCTTTGTTGCCGTTATCATCATCAGCCATTGTAATAGCTGAGTGATAGGCTTTGTTTAAAGCACTTCTTGGGGATGTATTTTTGATTCCAAGGACCCAGTGGTATGGCATTATGAGTAACTGCCAACTAGATGAGGAAACTTGGCCTGAACAGGCAGATGACTCAGCTCGTGCTGCGCACAGTCAGACTCCAGGCCAGGCATTTCTGGTGAAGGTCTGTGTTTCCTCCACTCCATGGCCTCATCAAACATTTGAAGATTAATCAAAAAGGAAAAAGATTACAAGTTTCCTAATGTTAACCTAAACACCAAAATAATTACAAATTTGGTTTTACCCAGCTGAAGGTGATACATAGCAAATTTGATCAAATGAATAATTTTAATTAAAATCTGAAAAAAGTTAGTCATTTATTAAGGATGACAGCCATGGGTGGTGGGTTCAGGATGGACATATAACTGAGGGTCTAGAGAAGTGAAAGATCCTTGGGGAAGTCCCTGATACCCAGATGCACCTGAGAAAGGGTGCCCACACTGACTTTTCTCCTCCAAAGCCACTGTGTATAATCAGGCAGGTAGGAGAC